GGATTGCACTTAGCATACATTGTTTTGTGCTTTGCCTTTTTCTCAGTGAATAATCTGTCTTGGAGATGGTTTCATATCAGCAAATATAAAAGTGGTGACCTTTAAACTTAGCCACATAGTACTCCACGGTATGAAAAAAATGAATTATATAACTGGTTTCCTTCTGACATGATTTAGGTGTTTCTTAGTTATTGCTTTCAGTTACCTCTTGTACATAGGTATTTGCACAAACTTGTAAGTGTATATTCAGGATAAATTCCCAGAGGTGGAATCAGTTAAGTCAAAGGGATATAAGTTTCATATTTTAGTGGATAAGACAGCTTGCCCTTATGGAAGTTACAGTGGATGTAGTCAGAGGTATGTTCCTGCTTGATTGCTATAGAACACTGTAGTTTATTCTCAGATGGTGAAAGAAAGATTGGCTCAGTGGGGCTAGAGAGAGATAAAAGCTTGGGTATGTGGCAAGGAGACAGGCCATAACGGCCCTTTAGGGCATGGCTGAGGAGCTAGACTTTGTCCTGAGGGCACTGGGTAGCCATGTTAGGAATAGCCACTGAATGACTGCCCACTTTCTCTCTTAAGTGTCCTGAAACTCATGTCTTTGCTCTCCTCTCACCCACAGAAGTGGGCCTCTTAGAGAAGGAACCAGGGCAGATAAACCTGTCCTTCTGGCTGAGGCCTACCTTGGACAGGTCAAACTGCTGCCAGTCTGGCTGAGCCACACTCTAAAGGTATGTGGCCAGATGGAGCCAGAGAAGGTAGTGGCAGACATGTGACAGAGGTGGAGAGGCCTGCCTGATGTCTGCACAGAAGCCAGCTTGACCCTAAGATACAGCATCTGGCAAGGCCTGACGTGTCTTGACTACTCAGTGAAAGTTTAAAAATATTTAGCGATAACTCTTTTCTCAATACATATCTCATGTCCAGCAGTGACGTTTTTATAAACATTTATTTTTTTATTTTTTTTGGAGAACAAAAGCAATAATCATCATAGAATATTTGGAAAATACCAAAATGCCCAAGGAATGAAATAAAAATTCTCTGAAGATGTCTCCTCTTTCTTAAAGACCAGTGTTAACCTTTGGGAGACTTGGTTAACAAGTTTAATGCAAATGTGCACATATTTATATTTTTATCAGAAAAGCAATCATACTTGGCATGCTATTTTGTAAACTTCTTTTTTCACATACCAATTTTACAAGTATATTCTTATGACATTAAATATTTTTTTGCAGTATGACTTTTAAGAGAAAAACTGATCTTGTGCCTATTAGTCTCCATTAATTCCATAAACATTCTTTAAAGATCCTCAAAAATGGTCAAAATATTTAAAATAATGTTTAAAAATAGGAAAAATAATTTTTAAAAAGCAAAAATTATATGTAACCCTGTCACTTAGAAGTTTACAAAAATTTAGAAATGGAAGTGTCCCATGTTCCACTTCATAGTAAATCCCACCCACCCCAAGTCTGGCCCAACCTCTACCTAGATAATTGCTATTAACACATAATAAATTTCTTTTAGTCTCCATTAACTCTATAAACATTCTTTAAAGACCCTCAGCCCCAAAAATATCATATTAACTCTAACATATGCTGAACTCATCTCTCAGAGAAAGCACCAGTCATTTTCAAGTACAACTTTACTTTTATAAGTGCAAATGTCTGAGTCACTTCATAGAATCAGCTTCTGTATAAAGATGGTGGAGCCCCAAACATTTGAAATTGGGGTTTAGTGGAGACAGATGCAGCCTCAGCAGACAGTTTATTTTTGCATATGATTGATTACACAGGATTGAGAAAATTCCTGATTCATAATAAAAAGGTCTACCAGTTCTTGAGCTCTCAAGAATGTTTGAGCTGAGTGCTATGAACTAGGGATTGTTGGAACCCCCCATTGCTCAAAGGGGCACAGTGAGGCTCAGAGTGTGGTGGGGCTAGTGAGAACCCAGTGTTCCCTCTTTGCTTCCCTCAGAAATTCCTGGTCACAGACTAGGTCACTGTGGACTTGCTTGTGAGCACTTATTTGAATTTACAAGTAAATAGATTAACCCTGGCTGCTGTAGCTCAGTGGATTGAGCACCAGCCTGCGAATCAAAGGGTTGCTGGTTTGATTGCTGGTCAGAGCACATGCTGGGGTTGTGGGCCAGGTCCCCAGTGGGGGGCATGTGAGAGGCAACCACACATTGATGTTTCTCTCCCTCTCTTTCTCCTTCCTTTCCCTTCTCTAAAAATAAATAAAGTCTTTTTTTAAAAAGTAAATAGATTAGGTCAGAATTCTGCCCTCCCCCTACCATAGCCCTTCCTTTGACACTTTTACAAAGCAGCCAGATATGAACCCAGGAATGGGGGAGATTTCATTCCAGGGCCTGCAGAAAAACCAGTTAAGCCAGTTAACCTGAAGGGGCCCTTAAGTGTTAAAATATGGTGCATATCACATCTAAGTGGTGTTTTAAAATTCTGGCTTCAAAAGTAAAGCTGTATATTGTTTAGTATTTTAGAAACCCCTTTAATAGTCTTTGTTTTTGAAAAATAATAGATGATCTTTACAAAAATAGTTTCAAAGATATATATATAATGTGAAAATTCCTCCTCCTTTCACCCTCCACCCCACTTCCCATCTCAAAGGAGTCCTTCATGGAAAATATGCTTACATAATTTTTATTTAAAAAATCACTTATGCATACTGTTTGCATACTTGCCTTGTATGTTATGCATACTTGCCTTGTTTATTTAACAACAGATCATGATGATCTATGATACAGCTATACTCTGAAATACATTGCAATAATTTTAAAAAAGAGGTGAAGATGACCATAATGTATAGTTAAGTGAAGAAAGCAAGTTGCAAACTAATGTTTAAAGCATGATTTTGGTAAGTGTGTGTGTACTTAAATATATAGATCTGTTGATATAAACTTTTGAAAAGGCAAAAAAAATGTATTATGTGTTAATAGTAATTATCTAGGTAGAGGTTGGGCCAGACCCCTACCTACCTGGTGGGTGGGATTTACTATGAAGTGAAACATGGGACACTTCCATTCCTAAATTTTTATAAACTTCTAAGTGACAGGGTTACATATAATTTTTGCTTTTTAAAAATTGTTTTTCCTATTCTTTTAAACATTACTTTAAATACTTTGACCATTAAGAAAAAACCCTGCATATTATCTATAGAAGTTAAAGTATTATATATGGTTTGCAAGTTTTTCTACTTTGTATTTCTTGGAGATTTTTTTGTTAAAACATTATTTTTTACTATTGTGTGGTGTTCCAAAGTTAAGATATAGCATTGTCACAGGTGGGCACAGGTAACCAGGTTCTTGGTGATCGCGGACAAAGAATTAAACTGAACAGAGAGAGTTTATAGCAGAAGGAGAGAGAGCAGATTTCTTAAGCGGTAGGACACTCCACAGAACATGGAACCAGGCAAACTTTGAGCAGAGATTGACCTCAGGGGCTGGAGGGATTCTATTCTTATAGGGCAGATATTTCCTGGATAGTTTTGGTGAGGTTTTAATGCGCATGTGCAAGTAGTTATATTACTTTAAATCTACTACGCATGTGGTCTCCCATGGTTTTTCTTGATTGGCCACCTGGGAAGGGGTTGCACAATATTAATTTATTATAATGAAGCAGGGGTCATATAGCATCTTCTTTGCAGGTGCATTCATGATTCACCATGATTCAGCGCTTTTTCAGAAAGTGAGAACAATCGGTGTAGAACAGTGTCTCTGTCCTGTATGGATGTTTTTTATCTTAGACCTGGGGTACATCCAGGGCTAAATCCTCACTCTCTCCTGCCTCTGCATAGCTAATTTAACCAGTCCCCTACTGATATTAATTTAGGTTACTGTAATGAAATCACCTTATATATGCTTTCGGATTATTTATGCCATTATACCATCTTTTTCTATCAGCTCACATAGATCTATCATTTTAAAAGTTTTATTGTTGTTCAAGTACAATCATCTACATTTTCCCCCCACCACTCCATCTATCATGTTTTTTTAGCAGTCGCAGAGAATTCCAGTCCAAGTACGTAACATGAGTTGTACAACCCATCCCCTGTTAATGGATATTAGATTGTTTCCAACTGACCATTACAGATTTTTAAAAGCTGATATCTGAATTTAGCATTTGCATACCATCGGCAGACCAGTGGAGTAAATGAAGACCTTGAGAAACTTTGTATGATGGGGAGTGAAGTCAGTCTCTCCTAGCAGAGCCTAATTGCTATAAAATGGCCAGGGAATGGGCTTGCTTCAGAGAAGCAAATGATGATGAGACTCTTAAAGTTTGTTGTGTGTTATGCACCCCTTAGAAAACTTGCCAGAAGCTTTAGTCCCTAATAGGAGGATATCTATCACCTGTACTGGTCCATCAGCCCTGCCATCTGATTTTCCTTTGATAAACATTATCCCAGCACCACCCTTCAATGCATTTTTAGCAGGATCATTAGTCCAGGTGCTCTTGCTTTCCTAACCAAAGGGTGGTCCTAGAACCTAAACCAAGACAGTGAGATTTAATCCTTGACCTTGGCTAAAGCTATCGGGACATAGATCCTTTCTCACCACTGTGTTTCTTAGCTATAATGATGTACATCTGGTATTGCAAAGAAATCCTGTCTTAGAATGAAGCAGGTTTCCTGGAAACTTGGTCTGAATTCTTAGATCCAGCTCCGTTAACTCAGTTACATGAGCCAATAAATTTCATTTTATATCTCAGTCAGTGCCAATTGGGTTTCTGCCACTTCCATTGATAGAGTTCTTCTTCATTCACCTTTCCCAGAAGGAAACAAATTAACTCATTCAAACAGTATTTATTGACTATCTATACTCAGTTTAGTGCTGGGCAATGCTGGGGAAAATAAATGACCATGACAGAACTTGTCCCTTCCCTCATAGCAATCCCAGTCTACCAGAGCTTATATAGATCTTCAAAACCACTCAGTAATAATGGCAACATCCACCAGGAAGGAGACATCTGTGAATGGGGTGGTGAGATCTAAGGGCAATACTTTAAATTGACACTGATAGATAGTTCAAGAATCAATCAAATAAAATGAGGTTAAGGGTTAAAGTCCCATGTATACATATCCAGGGGTTTCAGGGCATCCTCAATTCCTAGCAGACCTCAGAAACGTGGTAAAACATACTGGGAGTAGAAGTAGGAAAGGGTGAAGGAGGTGGAAAGGGGAGAGATGAGGCACAAACCAAGCCTCAGCTGGAGGATGAGGGAGCAGGAGGAGGAGGTCGAGGTGTACATGAAGCCATCCCTTCTTGTTCCTCAGAGTGTAGTGTAGAAATACATGGCTATCAGCATCACAGGAAGCTGGAGGAGAAGGCAGTCTGGTTAGGAGCACTCCAGCCCTATACCCACATCCCACCCAACCATAGGCTCCCCGCCTCTTACTGTCCACATCAGGATGGCAAATCCAAACCATGAGGTGCCCCATGTGTAGCTGTCGATGGCATGGCCAATGTGTTCAAAACAGCCCTGGGCACAGGGAAAATGAGAGTTTGAGAAAATTTCCAGGTAGGCTGGCTGCTGAAAGCAGGACTTGCTGTATGCCCTCAAGAAAGTCACTTCCCTCCTTGTCTTATATTTTCTCACTGTGCAATGAACATCACAGCAGTGTCTACCTCCCAGAGTGGTTTCAGGGAGCAAGGATGTGACCTTGAACTCACACCCTGTATAAGCGTGTGCTACCCTGATGCTGATTACAACAGACTGAAGGTGATTTTGTTTAGAGCCAACTTACCATGCTGTCCACAAGTTCCAAGGGTCTGAAATATGTCTTTAGGATCACTCCACTTTGGACATTTCCTCATTGATGAGATGGGACTGTGTCAGTCTAGAGCCCCACATCTTCACGTATACCCCTGGTCCAACTTGGAAGCAGCCAAGAACCAAGTTTCAGGGTGTGTGCCCTCTATTTAGGCAGGACTGAGTGGGGGGGCTATCATTTGTTGGCTATGGGGCCCACATATGACTCTGATCCTCTAAGCCTCAGTTTTCTGATCTGTGAACTGGTGATCTTAACAGCACTACCCTCTGAAAGCATTTGTGAAGATTCCATGAAGATGCATGTAAGCACTCTGCACAGTCATGGCTGGAAACATGGCTGTCTGATTCTGAGGGTGGTGGAGATGGTTTGCACACTTGATCTAACACACACCATTGAAGGGCCCTGGGCAGCCAAGAGCAGCCAGGGAGGGCCACTGGGACCAGTTCTCTTAGTCTAACCTCCTCTAGTCCTTTCTCTGTTTCTGCCTGGTTGGGGCCTAACTACCTGAAATCAAACCCGAGCTCTATCCCTCACTAGTAAGTTACCTCTCAGTTTCATCATCTGTGAAATGGCATAATTATCATCTTTACCTCATCAGGCTATGGTGAGAAATAAGATAAAAACTTAGCTCTGGCCAGGTGGCTCAATTGGTTAGAGCATCATGCCATACACCAAAAGGTTGCAGGTTTGATACTTCATAAGGGCACATCTCTAGGTTGTGGGTCTGATCCTCGGTTGGGGAGCATACTGATGTTTCTCTCTCCCTTTCTCTCTCCCCCTTCCTATCTCTTGAAAATCAATAAATATATCCTCAGGTGAGGATTAAAAATAATAAGATAAAAACCTAAAGCACTTAAAAGGATGTCTGGTACAAAGTAAAAGCTCAATAAATATGGGTGGGTTGTTACCAGTTTTGTGCTATTGTTATTATTATTGTTGTGCATATTCCCAGACAGCCTGAGAAAAGTTGTAGGTGCTAGGTCTAAATCAGACAGACTCTGTGTGCAACTCATTGACTTTCAGAGGAAGGGAGAGACAGATGGGTGGAGAGTTGAGAGAAGGGAGAGATAAAGAAAGCCAGAGAAGGGAAGAGGAAATAATAGACAGTGTGGGGTGGGGTGGGTAGAGAAGAATCAGAGAGGGCCAGAGAGACCACAGACAGGTGCAGCAGAAGGGAGAAGATATACCTTGGTGAATAGGTAGTCCATGTGACCCAGACGACAGCCCTGTTCATTGAGGGGGATGAAGTTGCCAGTCCGTCGACAGCACAGTGGGGGCCAGGGAAATACCTCTTCTGGGGTGGCAGCCCGGAAGGCTGATGTGAAGTTCACCCAGTCCATGGGACCAGATGTGCCACAGCACTCTTGCTGGAGAGAAAGGCAGGGGGTCAGGCTTTAGCTCAGAGCAGATAACCACTTGCCTGAGGTCAGGTAGTATGAAGCTGTACTGTGCCACTGCTGGGGCCAAGTTCCCCATGTGCTGGGCCTTGAAGAGGAGGGCAGGGTCCATGTGTGTGAATAAGAACTGGAAGATATTTGTTCCAGGACCAAGAGGCTGATGGGGGATTTGGATCAAACCTACACTTGTGATTTATTTTAAAATTCTTTTGAATTCACTGTCAACAAAACCTGAGCTACATAACACCAAAAGGCAGATTTCTGGCTTTTCCTAGCTCCTGTGGGTGTTTAATTTGTGGCCCTTGAAAGATGAAAACATAAGCTCTTCCAAACATGGGTTCCAATCCTGGCTAGCTGTATCACTTGAGTCACATTGGGGCTTCATTTTCCCTTGAATCCTCAATATTTTCCTCTGTGCTGCCATGTCATGTTGGATTTAGCTAAGAATGTGGTTTCTGGAAATTGGCATCCTGGGTTTGAATTCTTCTGGTTCTGTGGACTACCAGCTGTGTGACCTCAGGCAAGCCCCTCAATTCCTTGCCTCATTTTCTTATTGCTAAAAAGCTGATCTCCCTTATGGGGTAGTTGTGAGGATTAAATAAGCTTTCAAAATTCTTTGGACAATGCTAAACAGAAATTAGTGCTCATTAAATGTTTGCTGTATTGTTAATACAATATACATCATGATTAAGAGCAGGGATTCTGGATCTAGGCTGCCAGGTTTGGATCCCAGCTCAGCCACTTACTCTGGGCAAGTGACTTTCCTTTTTTGGGGCTTGTTTACTCATCTGGAAAATGACAACTACCAGAGCATCCCTCGTAAGAGCCACATAAGTAGATATCAAATACCAGTGTGAGCACAGTGGGAGCCCTATCTACCTCTGTGGTCACAGCCCCAGGTCCTCCAGACCTCCCTGCTCACCCTTGCCCATCCTTGCTCACCTCAATCATGATGCGGTCCCAGAGGCGAGTCAGTTCTTGGCCCTGGTCCGTGTCTGCACTGTAGAATGTCAGCATCTGCTTGGTGATCAAAGATGGGTTGGACACCATCTGTGAAGAGCCAGGAAAAATAGAGTCCAGTGGGGATGGCTGGGGAGGTAGAAGTCAACATCCACCCTCAGCGTGAGACCCTCACCACACTACCCCTGGAAGTCAAGCCCTTCCCCTGGCCTCTGCCTGGCTCACATAGTCTCGGTGGGTGTAGGACGTGATGCAGGAAGCGCACTCGAAGATGTAGACGATGAGCATGAGCACCAGGTACTGGGGAGAGATAGAGGGAGGGATGAAAGAACAGCCCAGTCATGACAAAGCCTATGAAATCACAGTCCCTCAAGGGATAGATTGATGGATAGAAATGCAATTTTTAAAAAATGTGTAAGACAAGTGAGTGGTAGCATCTGTGTGATGGGTATACAAATGTTTGCTGTTCAAGTCATTCCCATTTTCTGTATGTTTGAAATTTTCCATAATAAAATGATAGGGGAAAATGAAATGAAGACATATGTAAAGTATTTCCTGAAGTTAACAATATGCTTGGATACAGTAAAATAAATGTCTACTTTAGAAAGGAAAAAAAGACATTCTTGAGAAACCAAGGACATTTGAACCCAGAGTGGGTGTTGGAAGATAGATGTGAATGAACTAGGGTAAATTTTGCAGGTGTGTCAGTGGCATGGTGATTGGGCAAACAAAAAGCAAAATCTCTTTGACCTGTGTTTAATGAAAAGTATTTTCCTGTCCTCACCCTTTACCCTTACCCTTAAAGCAACATGGTATGGGGTATGGATTTGCCAACTCCATTGCCAAGAGATGATATGATGTGGCATAACATGCCTGCCTATTTTAAAACAATATCCTTATCACTCAGAGAAATATGTACTCAGATATTTGTGGGTAAATGATTTGGTGTACGGAATGTGCTTCAAAATACCCCAGGAAAGAAAAATGTGGGCAGGCAGGGAGTGGAGTAGAGGACACAAAGTTCACCAGTCTGTGATAGACATGTCGAAACCAGGTGATAGGTACACAGGGTTCATCAGGGCACTCTCTCTAGTCTATGTTTGAAATTTCCCATAATATTCTTTTTAAAAACTTCTAGGCCTTAGTTAATGACAAAGTAATAGACACACACAATTTTTTTTTACTAGTTGGGTGAACTTCTAAGGGCTTTGGTTCAATTATTATGCCAAAGAATTAAATGCAGGAAAGAAATAAAAAAAGGAGGAAAACAGGAAAGGAAAGGAAAAGGGCCTTTCCATGGTTCCATCTTACAGTAAAGCCACTTTCCCAAGGCCCAGAAGGCCTAACTGATAGACCCACCTTCCTTTTCTTTCCTCATCCTCTATGCCCATTGCCCATTGTTCTCTCCTTCACCTCCATACGCCCTCACCTCAACTCCTCTCTCACCCTCACCCCCACTTGGTTCCAGCCACACTGGTCTCCTAGCCTCCTCTGGCTTCAGAGCATTTGCTCTTGCTGTTGCCTCCACCTGGAATGTTCTTCTGAAGATTCACACACAAGCTCACTCCTCATCTCCCCTAGGCATTTGCTTTCCTTGGCTTCGAGGCTTCCCCATCCCTTTCTCCAGTTCCAGCTCACCCATCCCTGGTCACTGTCTTCCCCCTTCAGAGCATGCCCCAAAAAGGCAACAGATTTGTGTTTTGCTTGCTATATAGCTCTGGTGCCTAGCATAGGGTTTGGCATGTGGTTCTTGCTTAATAAGCATTTGTTGGTTAAATAAGTAGGTGCTCATAGGAATTTAAAGGTCTGTCAACCATAGAGGAAGCACAGTGTTGGCTCTGTGTCACTGGGTCAGGATTGGAATTTCTGCTCTCCCTACTATTTGGGCTTTGGCCTCTTTGAACCTCAGTTTTGTCATTTTAGTAAATGGATAGAGAAGCAGTAACTTCAGAGGGCTTCTGGGAGGATTGAGGGAGCGCATTTTCCACACTGCTTAGCCAGGTGTCAGGCAAGTGAGAGGCCCTTAGGAAGTGCGGGTATTGTTGTTACAGTTGCTGATGTTGGCAGAGATTGAGAACACAGGCTGAAGTGCTGAACTTCTCATGTTAGAGTTCTCCTGGCTGTGTCACTCACTCACTGTGAAACTCTGGGTAAGTGACTTCACTTCTCTGAGCCTCAATTTCAACCGTCAAGTGGGTTCATGATGATGATGGTGGTGATGATGATGATGATATCTCATGGTGGGTTGTGAGGAATAAGTGAACTAATCTATGTAAAACACTTAGAAAGTAATGAGCACTTATTACATGGTATCTGATCTGCTATTACTATTGTCTTTATCGACAGCACTCATGAGACCAGACGCTGGAGACCAACTAGCTGAGGTTCAAATCCCAGTCCCACTACTCAACAGCTATCCTCCTGTGCAGAGAGTTTTCTTCCTTCCCTCCCCTGTGTCCCAGTTTTCTTTCTGAAATGATGGAGACAGACAGCCAAATCTAGGTTACTGGGTCATGGGAAGGTGAAATAAAATGATTTCCAAGAGGCCCAGGTGTGGTGCCAGGCTGAACACACACTCGTGGCTGCAGTGGTGGTTACTATTATGACTCTAAGAGGATGATCTTCATGCCCACCTAACCCCATACCCTCCTCCTGGGCCTCACCGTGAGGATCATGGACTGCCGGGGGCAGAGCACTGCACCCACTCCAAAGCTGGCCACGACAAAGAAGGAGAAGCCGCAGAAGATGGCGATCCAGGCACCAGCGAAGACATCATCCTTGCCTGAGACGCCCATCAGTGGGTACACATGGTACTGGTCAGCTGTTACCCACACTGTTTCAGCAAACAGAGCCAGACCTGACAGCTAGAAAGAGCAGCTGGTAAGAAAGATCTGCTCAGGGGCAGCAGCCCCAGCTGCATGGGTGAGTCTCCATGAGCAAGTTCTTTCTTCATTCTGAGCCTCCTCTGCCTGCTCAGTAAAGTGGGTATATAATAAGAGTGGTGAAGAGCCCTGGTCTGGTGGCTCATTGGTTGCAGTGTCGTCCAGCATATCAAAAGGTTGTGAGTTTTCCCTGACTGGTGTAGCTCAGTGGATTGAGCATGGGCTGTGAATCAAGGAATTGCTGGTTCAATTCCAAGTCGGGGCACATGCCTGGATTGCAGGCCAGGTCCCCGGTGGGGGGCGCATGAAAGGCAACCACACATTGACATTTCTCTCCCTCTCTTTCTCTTTATCTATTTATCTATAAAATAGATAAATAAAATATTTTTTTTAAAAAGGGTTGTGGGTTTGATTTACAGTCAAGCTCATACCTAGCTTGTGGATGGAGGGCAACCGATTGATGTTTCCCTTCCACATCAAATATTGTCTCACATTGATATTATTGTCTCTCTTTCTCTCTTTTTCTCTCTCTAAAGTCAATAAACATATCTTTGGGTATAGATTAAAAATTTGTTTAGAAAATAATAAGTTACAAAGACATCACATTTCATGAGCAGGGATGAGGCTAGACAGAGGTCAGGAGGGGAGGACCCAGTCAGAACCCACTGCCTGTCACCATTGCCAGTTGCTTCAAAGATAGCAGGAGATGCTACATGCAAAGCCTAGAGCACATGACTGTCACAGAGGAGATGCTCAGTCAACCTGCCCTCCCTTCCTAGTGTTATTCCCTGAAGAGGGGAATCTGGTCATTACCAGAAGAATTATAAGTACATCAACCCTTTGGTCCAGCAATTCCACTTGGTGAAATAACCCTACACATATACCTGCCCATGCAGGAAAATCACAAACCCACAAGGTGACCCCCTGTAGCATTGTAGATAGAGGAACCAGGATGCCATACAATGGAGTGCTATACAGTTGTGAAAAAGAGCAGGGAGGCTCTCTTGAGGACTGCTGTGGAGTGGCCTATAGGCTGTGTGAGTAGGAAGAAATGGAAGTCATGAAAAAGAATATGCGATGAGCTACATTTTAGGCAAGAAAGGGGAGAGAATAAGTATATATGTTACTATTGCTTGCATTTGTAGCATGTTGAAAAAACTAAGCATCTGGTTGTCTGTGGGATGAGGGACACAGAAAAAAGAGAGGAACTGCTTGGTGGGCTTGGTGAGCTCTTTTGACAATAATAAAATTAAAACTCCTAGAGTACTTACTCTGTTCCAGGCATTGGGCCTCATAACTGGCTTCTGTGTAATAATCATTAGTTGCAGCTTTAGTGGACACTATTGCTATGGCTAATACAAAGAGTAACCATGTGTGAAAAATTGGTATAAGAATATTAATCCAAAGCTCATTTTATCCTTGCAGCATTACTATTTTATCTCTATCTTTAAAAAAAAATTTTTATTGATTGATTTTAGGGAGGGAGAAGAAGGGGTAGAGAGAGAAACATTGCTTCGACACTCTACCCACACATTCATTGGTTGCCTCTTGGGTGTGCATATCGGGACAATGCTCTAACCAAATGAGCTACCTGGCCAGAGCAAGTCTCCATCTTACAGATGAGAAAATTGAGGCCCAGAGAGGTGACCCCAAATCTACAATAGAAAGTGCCAGTGGGGTGGAGGGGCGGGAGGAGTTTCTCCCACTCTTCTCCTTCCTTATTTTTTTTTTAAAGAAGTGCAAACTTGGATTTGAACCCAGGCTATCTTGCCTCAGGGCCATGTACAGGTATCACATTTAAAAAAAAACCATTAAATATTAAGTAAAAGACATTTTTATTATTCATTATCATGGGCCAGCTATGTGCCAAGCAGGCACTTTATGCCCATAATCATGTTAATGTTCATAGCTAGCATTTGTTAATCATTTTTTCTGAGCTGAGGTTCACACATAGATTAATTCACACAAATATCCCCACAATGAAGTCATAATCTATAGATAGGGAAACAGGAACAGAGAAGAAAAGCCACTTGCTCAAGGTCACACAGCTGGGGAGAGGCAGAGCTGAGATTCAAATCCAGGCTGCTCTGACTAGAAAGCCTATAGCACTGGTCTACTGGAGAGTCCTGGACCTTCACCCTCCACCCCAGGCTCAAGACTGGCCTCCTCTCCCCACCCTCCCACTCGGCTACCAGCACTGGGGGATGTCTCACCAGAATAATGATGTTGCCCACGACCAGCATCCCCACCACAATCGGAGACCCCTTTTCCGCCTCTGCTGCTGCAGATGCCATACTCCTGCCTGGGGTACATGAGCAGGGATGAAGCCACAGAAAGCCCAGGAGGGAAAGGAAGGCCCAGTTGGACCCACTCCCCCACTCCATGCCTCAGCTGCAAGGGGCTGCTCCTGGCTCTCTGCTGGGCCCAAGTGGACTGAACATGTCCAGCTTTCCACACCCTGGTGGTAGGCCATTCTACAGCAGAGGACAGTGAGGCCCAGGCAGGACAGTCACTGGCCAGTGCTCAGCACTGGCCTTCCTTGAATTTGAGACCACCACAGCTCCTTCTGCCCATCCAACTCCCAGATCCCCCTCCTCACCTTCTCTGCCTAAAGCTTCTCTAGCCAGTCCCTCGTACAGTAACTCCTTATATATGCCCAGGCCCCTCCTTGGGCCAGCCTCCCAGGAAGAGAGGAGGGTGTTTGGAGAAAGAGACAAGAGGTCAAGCAGGCAGACCAGCATGAGAGAACAGCTTTAGGTGCCCCACCCCCAAGTGATTTATAGACCTGACATTCCAGATTGTGCCAGTTTCTGGCCACATGGGCAGGGTAATATGCTCCTGGGAAGGCTGCTGTGGTAATGGACCGGGGAGGAGTTGGGAGAGTAAGTACACCACCTAATGTCTCTCCTTAAGACATGGGCCTTCCTGGGAGCAGAAGAGAGATCCAAATTGGACCTGGATGTGAATCCTAAATCCCAGAATTCCCTCTTCTTCTGCTGGTTCCATCTGTCCTAGGACAGGAACCCAGGGGGAGGCCCAGGTAGGGACCCTGGAAGGTGAGGACAGGCTAAACCAAGGAAGGCAGTGAGGTAGAGAGATATGGGGGCAGGTGGGCTGAGAAGTCTGATTTTACAGGCTGTGGGCTAAGGGGGAGAGATTGGCAAGAAATGGGTATATGAGGGGAGTTTGAGAGGAGTGTTCGAGTGGAAAGAGAAGTGTGCTAGAAAAAGAGAAGGAGCACACTGAATGGGCTTGGTGGGGGAGAAATCCCCTTTCCACCAGCACCACACAGGTAGGGACAAAGCAGGGTTATAATGAGGAGCCAAAGCATGGAAACATCTTCAGGCTGCAGAATCAAGAGACATAGGTTCAAATCCTAGTTCAGTTTTATCTGTGCTGTGTGACTTGGCGTGTGCATTTGCCCATCTGCTGAATGGGTATCAATCAATGGATAAGTTTCCTAGATGGCAATGGGAACTCAGTGCAGGGATGTGTTCCAAAGATGTCTTTCAGTCCCAATGTGCAAGTGGCAGAGCCTCACCCGCTGTGCTCCGGAGAGGCCCACGTTCTCTCCGATGGCATCCCCTAGTATCAAAAGGCTGGTTCTGCAAGCGAAAATGGTGGCTCGAGGCTCCCAGTCCTTGCCCAGAACTTTTCTAGCCCACAGGCTGGGAAATTTACTATGTTCTCTCTTTGAGTAGCAGCTCTACAGGTGTATGCGCCATCGGCAAACAAATAGAACTTGAAATTCTATTGTCAAGACACTGGCTTTGTAGTAAAATACATGAGATATATTCCAATGAAAATAGATAATTAGGTTTAGGTTTTCAGTCCATTTACTTTACTTTTAAAATAGGTTTTCTCTGTTGATTTACATTTATATTAAGGACTAATGAGAAAATTTAAATAATAATGTACATGATCTTTCAAGTACATCTTTTTTTAAAGCTTTTATTTATTTATTTTTAGAGAGAGAGGAAGGGAGGGAAACATCAATCAGTTGCCTCTTGCACTCCCCAACAGAGGACCTGGCCTGCAACCCAGGCATGTGCCCTGACTGGGAATCAAACCGGCGACCATTCAGTTTCTAGGTCTGTACTGAATCCAGTGAGCTGCACCAGCCAGGGCTCAAGTACATCTTATAAGTTTTACCTAAAATAACTGGACAAATGTGAGGCCGATCTGGCTGCGATATCTGTCACCCCATTGATCGCCAGGGTTGATTTGGCTGATCTGGCTGGCTAGGCAGGTGTCCCCTTCCTCCCTCAGCGATCCGTGTGGGTCCCTCCCAAAGCTGCACGCTGGATTGAAGAGGATGACCTTCCCAACTACAGGAGAGGACCAGTCAAGAGTACACCAGTAGCTGTGTTCCCCTGCCAGAACCTCCAAACAAGCTCTCAAGGTCCATTTGTAGGAAAATGTAGGGTAGTCAAGCTTCCAAGACTCCAGACATATCCAAATGAGGCACTGCATGTGGCAGTCTGCCTTTCTAAAAAAAAAAGAAAGGAAGGAAGGAAGGAAGGAAGGAAGGAAGGAAGGAAGGAAGGAAGGAAGGAAGGAAGAAAGAAAGAAAGAAAGAAAGAAAGAAAGAAAGAAAGAAAGAAAGAAAGAAAGAAAGAAAGAAAGAAAGAAAGAAAGAAAGAAAGAAAAAGAAACTTGCCAAATAATGTTAGGCTAATAATATGAAATATTTTTATTTTCAAATAGTTGATAACTGTTGGTATTTTCAAATATTTGGTAATAGTTAGGAGTTACATAAAATGACTAGTAGAGGCAAAAGGGTGTCACCAATGGTGCATTAATATGTCACCAGTCATGTAGTCAATACATTAATATGATACCAGTCATTGATGTTTCTCTCCCTCTCTTTATCCCTCCCTCCCCCCCTAAAAATAAATAAATAAAATGTAAAAAAAATATATGTCACCAGTCACAAAAGGGATTCATTTTGTTCTGAAGCATGATGCTAATGTACTTTGTCAAACTGGAATTTTCACTTTTCTTTCTTATTATTATACAAGCCTGTCTTCAAACAGTACATTTCAAAGTGCTAATTACTTCCTTAAAAAAAATCACAATGCCACCCTGGCTGGTGTGGCTCAGTGGACTGAGTGCCAGCCTGTGAACTGAAAGGTTGCCCATTCGATTCCCAGTCAGGGCACATGCCTGGGTTGTGGGCCAGGTCCCCAGTTGGGGGTATGCAAGAGGCAACCAATCTCTTGCATATAGATGTTTCTCCCTCTCTCTAAAAATAAATAAATGGAATCTTTAAAAAATCTATTTTAAAAAATTTTAGTGCCAAGATGTCCTAAAGATATATGCCTACTACTTGCCCCTATCAAATATCGTGAATGTTTTCATAATAGTCCCATATTGGAAACTCTGCAAATGCCCCTTAACAGCAGAATGGATAAGTACATTAGGGTACCTGCATACAGTGGATACTATTCAGCAATAAGAAGCAACAGACTATTGATATATGCAACCACAGGGATGAATCTCAAAAGTATTATGCTAAATGAAAAAACCATACTCAAAAGAATACAACTGTATGATACGAGATATGAAGTTCTAGAACAGGAAAACCAATCTAGTGTGATAAAAGTCAGGGGAGAGGTTACCCATGGGACACTGTGGCTAGAAGAGACAGGAAGGGGACTTCTCTTTCCTGATTTGAACACTTACACAGGGGTATTCAGAGTGTGAAAATTCATCAAGCTATACAGTTACAATAAGTGTACTTTTCTGTATACATACATATATAAATATACACATTTCATTACAATGCTTTCTAAGGAAAGTAAATCCTTTCAGAGACATAGTCAATGTATTAAAGTGGTATTTTCCAAAGGCAGCATATGAGATGATTTTAGGCTGTATATGGACATGAATAGAAATAGCATAAAATGATATAAAACTCAGGTGATGAAAAAATGATTGTTTAATCCTGGTGGTGGCATGGAGAAAAAGCTCAGGAGTTTGATGCTACTGTGTCCTGAAACATGTTTCCATCCTTGCTTAGAGAAGCTCTCAACCATCCTCAGTGTCTGACTAGAATTAAATAACACATTTTCATTCTATTTATTTTTAAGACAAAGTGTTTTGTTTTCTTCTCCTTAATTATATTGTATTGATTTTACTGTTACAGTTGTCCCAGTTTTTCGCACTTTGTCCACATCCACCCAGCACCCCCTACTCCCTCAGGCAATCCCTACATCATTGTTCATGTCCTTGGGTCATGCATATAAGTTCTTTGGCTACTCCATTTCCTATACTGTACTTTATATCCCCATGGCTATTCTGTAACTACCTATTTGTACTTAATCCCCTCACACTTACACTGATTCCCCCATACACCCCCTCCATCTGGCAACTTCAAAATGCTCTCCACATACATGATTCTGTCTGTTTTTGTTGTTTACTTAGTTTGTTTTGTAGATTCAATTGTTGATAGATATGTATTTATTGCCATTTTATTGTTCATAGCTTTGGTCTTCTTTTTCTTAAAAAGTCCCTTTAACATTTCATAAATAATAGTTTGGTATTGATGAACTCTTTTAGTTTTTCTTGTTTGATAAACTCTTTATCTGCCCTTTATTCTAAATAATATCTTTACTGGGTAGAGCAATCTTGGCTGTAGGTCCCTGCTTTTCATGACTTTGAATATTTCTTGCCAATCCCTTTTTGCCTGCAAAGTTTCTTTTAAGAAATCATGAAGGGTGGAGGGGAATGAAGGGGGGGGGGAAATGGGACAACTGTAATGGCATAATCAATAAAATATATTAAAGAGGAAAAAAAAGAAATCAGCTGACAGTCTTCTGGGAACTCCCCAGTAGGTAACTAATGGCTTTTCTCTTGCTGCTTTTAAGATTCTCTTTTTATTTTTAACCTTTGTTATTTTATTTTATTTTATTATTTTTTAAAGATTTTATTCATTTATTTTTAGAGGGGAAGGGAAGGAGAGAAGGAGAGAAACATCAATGTATGGTTGCTTCTGATGCATCCCCTGCTGGGAACTGGCCCCTGCTGGGAACTGGTCTGCAACCCAGGCATGTGCCCTGACTGGTAATTGAACTGCGATTGTCTGCTTCCCAGGCCCACACTAAATCCACTGAGCTACACCAGCCAGGAACCTTTGTTATTTTAATTATGATGTGTCTTGGAGTGGGCCTCTTTGCATCCATCTTGTTTGGGGCTCTCTGCACTTCTTGCACTTGCATGGCTACTCCTCTAACCAAATTAGGGAAGATTTCTTTCATTATTTTTTCAGATAGATTTTCAATTTCTTGCTCTTTC